CCTGACATTTTTAATGATTGTTTTTCATTTTTAATACCACTTATAATTATGACATTTTCAGAAATGACTTTTTTGGCCTTTTAAAGTTGTTTTACAGAATCTTGAATAAGAACGTAAGAATGGCCATACTGGGACAGACCAAAGGTCCATCTAGCCCCGTATCTTGTCTTCTGACAGTGGCCAGGTGCCCCAGAGGGAATGAACAGAACAGGTAATCATCAAGTGACCCATCCCCTGTCACCCATTCCCAGCTTCTGGCAAACAGAAGATAGGGACACCATCCTGGCCAATAGCCATTGATGGACCTATCCTCCATGAATTTATCCATCAGCGATTTTTTTGGTGAGGGAAGAGGTCACAAATTTTAAAAAAATGAATCAAATTAAACAAATTCAGGCCTGCCTCTGCTCCAATTGAAGTCAACAGGAGTTTTGATTTTGATGACAGTGGGTGCAAGATCAGTTCTCAGTACATTCCCTGATGTCTGTTAATATTTTCTTTCTGTCACAGACCCTTATGTATTTCATTGAATCATTCATCTATATTCGGATTTGAATGAATAATTATTAAAAATAATTTCAGTTATCTTTATCTGCTTTTACTGCACTTTCAGTGCGTAAGTGAAATATGTATTTTTTTTCAGTGCTTACAAAATAAATGAAAAAGGAACTGAGATATGAACAATAAGAGATTGTTTGTTTTCTCCCATTTGTCTTCTTTTGCCTACTGAACAGCTGTGACCTTTGCCCTGTTTATTCATCAGAAAGTACATATGTTAGGATCTAGGAGTTTCATTCACACAACCCATATTTGTCATGTTCAAATAAAATCCTACTCTCACCAGGGTTTGATAGAGTGAGACTAGTAGTATTTACATAAGAACTCAAGAATCCAATATTCTACTCTGCTAGGTCTTGCTCCTGCTGAAGTCAATGGAGGTGTCACCACTGCCATTAATAGGAACAGGACTGTGCTTCTTGGGTTTATAAATGGTGTTATAAATGGAATGGATAAAAGAAAAAATTAAGTGGCCAACAACATTTATGAACCGTCTGACTGTCATAAGTGTATATCTGCACAGATATATCACATAACCATATAATCCTTCCTCATATAACAATAAAATAATAATAAATCAACACAACAAAACAACATGCACTTATGTAGCAGCTTCCATTTGAGGATTTCAATCCACTTTCCCAATATGAATGAAGTTTATTTTCACAACACCCCTCTGAAGTAAGTGAGTATTATTATCCCAGTTTAACAGAGAAGAGAAAGTGAAGGAAAGAGAGGTTAACTGACTTGCTCAAGATCACAGAGCAGGCTGTAGAAGAGTTGGAACTAGATCCCAGAACTCCAAGCTCCTCATCATGTCTTAATCACAAGGCCATTCTTCCTTCTGCTTATGAAAAGCAGGGGAAACAGGATGGACAATGTGCTGAAGACATTTTCATGATATTGATGAGAGAGAGAGATGACATTATACTTTAGGATCCTATTTCATCTTAAAGTCTGTCGGTGAATGCTGTCATGAAACTGGATTTTCAAGCTTATTTACCATTCAAAACTATTCACTGAATAGTTTCAATGTACAGTATTAGCCTTGGACAGCTGATCATTCACAAGCAATGTATTGTAAATATTTCAAATTCAAGAACTATTGGTGAGTTTTGTTTGAACACTTAGATCAGGGGTAGGCAAAACTATGGCACGCGTGCTGAAGGCGGCATGCAAGCTGATTTTCAGTGGCACTCACACTGCCTGGGTCCTGGCCACCAGTCTGGGGGCTCTGCATTTTAATTTAATTTTAAATGAAGCTTCTTAAACATTTTAAAAACCTTATTTACTTTACATACAGCAATAGTTTAGTTATATATTATAGACTTATAGAAAGAGACCTTCTAAAAACGTTAAAATGTATTACTGGCATGCAAAACCTTAAATTAGAGTGACTAAATGAAGACTCGGCACACCACTTCTGAAAGGTTGCCAACCCCTGATTTAGATCATGGTATTGTTCTGTTCTCTAGTTGGAAGCAGACATTTCTGATGTGAACACATGCATTTACAACTATAAAAAATTCTTGCTAGGCAGAGGACCGGATTCTCCTCTCTCACACATGGGTGTAAAACAGGAGTAACTAACTCAATTTTAAATTGAGATGCCAGAGTGGAACACGGAATTTAGTCTAGTTTCTCTTGCCTTTGAAGTAGATATGAGAACCACTCCCTACAAAAGGTGAATTTCCCCTCTGTGCAGGGCCTCAGCACAAGGCCTATGCACTACTTCAGTATCACTTAACCCTCTTTTGAATTTCAACCTAGATTATTTACCAGTTTTGTAAGATATCTTTTAAAGCAACTTACTATTTAATTATGAGTGGTTTCTTTGCTCTAAGAGTATTCATTTGAAATACTTCAAAGGCAGGAGACACACTGCTAAAGCTGTGCCCAAGGCTACACGACAGTTTTAGCTCAGATTGCAGTATTTAGGATCATTGTGGCCCCTACTGCCACCAGTACTTTTTTGAAGTATTTTTTGAAGTAATTGAAATACATTTAAAGCATGAAAACAAACAGTAAGTGAAAATCTTAAAGATTTTCCCCCTGCTATTATTAGATTTCTTGATTCTGCTCTCATTTACATCTGTGCAAATTAGTAATAGCCCCACTGAAGTCACTGGTGTTACACCCGTGTAGAATTAGTGTGCAAGAAACTATCAGGCCCATACAGCTTTGGCAAAAGCACATTCAAAAGCACATAGCATTGGCCCGACTCCACTCCACTGGAATTAACAGTACAATTCTCACTGATTCAATGGGAGCAGAATTATGACTACACTGAGCGCTTTTGAAAATCCTATGCAAAAGTGCTAACAAATTACAGCCCATGCATGTGTTGTCCACAGTTTGTCACATGTCAGATTACTCTCCTTTCTCAGCCCATATATCATCTTCCTAATGCTTCCCCTGAGAGAACTGCAGAGCTGGCCATTTTGTTTCCACTGATCACCCAGTTTAGTTTCTAGCCTTGTTCAAACTCTGTTTTGTTTTATTGCCCAGACTAATTATATTGTATATTTTGTAATTTTAAAACAATTTTAGATACATTTTAATAAAAGTCATAAGCTAACTCATTGGGGAGACACTGCCAGACCTTCCCCCCATAATTGTCCTGTGAGGAGACCCACCTTCTTTTTCCTGCTCTAACCTCTTTTATTTCTGGGCGTCTCCTGAGCAAAGACCTTCAATGGGTGTTTGATGGTGGTGCTGATCTGGACAAATATCTACAAGCCACATATCCAGACATGGAAAGCTAGTTCATTACCAACCTGGTCCCTGATCCGACAGAAATAATGAACACGTTTTCATTCATTCAGAAGGCAGGAAACATTTAAGGAATGGATTTTGCTATTGCAGTGTTGACTGATAACCAGGTAAAAATAGAGGTAAATAGCTGAGAGTATTTTATGAAAGCAGGTGTGAATAATCTGCAATGCATGGATTTTTTTTAATTCAATATACTTTTGATTCTTCTAACATAGTCACATGGCCAAATTCTGCCTTCAGTTATGCCTGTGTGAGCACATTGACCCTAGTGGAATTACGTAGTTATAGGTGAGAACACAGTTTTGGCTCACTGTGTTGGTAAGTGCATTCTTTCTGACTGATAGTAGGATGACTATGAAAAATATGAATTGATCTTGGTTGACCAAAGTTAGAGTTTATGTGATGTGAAGAGTAATTCCTTAAGGTCACAGCAATTATTCAGATTTCTGCATATGTACTTAGTGATATGTAATGAACCATGTACTAATGGCAGGGATTGTATTTAGAATTGGAAGCCTTCCCATCATTTCAGAAATGGGAAATTTCTCGAGCTAATTTGGGTACATGGGTTATGTTTTTGCCCAGCACAAAGATGGGAATATTTGGTCAGACACTGCCAATTATCTGTTAATATCCCTGTGAAAGGCGGATGGGGGTGAGGGTATTTACTCACAAAAGTTTTCAGGGCAATTTTATTTTGCCATTTTCTCTGACGCAGGGAGGGGTTAAAGGGATGCTTGATCAATTCACCAAACTAAATAAAATGTCACCTCCATTTCCCCACAGCCTATGGTTATGCTTCTACCTTCAGTTAGGTTGCTGTATGATCATTGGGTATGCACTACAGCACTAGATCAAAACCAACTTATCATAAATGTCTTGAGAGAAATAAGATAAGTGAATTTGGGGTGAAAGAACCCTGAGAGGAATGTATGATATTACCCTCGAAAGCAGGTTAACTCCTTTAAACACACACACACACACACACACCAGATTTTTTTGGTTTTGAGTGGATAAGACTAGATCCACAAAGAAAAGTAAGAAAAAGCCTTGCATAGTCTGCACTGTGGAAGCTCGTGCAAGACTGGCAAAGTTCTGAGGAATGGGTTACCAGAGCTTTGGGTATACTGAAGCAAATGTATTTTTAATTTTAATTTTACACACAGACTGTGATCTTTAAAAAGACCAGAGTTTTAAAGACATAGTTCAGAATTATGTATCAGTTCTTTCACAAGAAGAAAACTCTACATGGTGAGGTTTTTTTTAAAGTGCATAGTGGGCCTGCTCAAAGCCCACTAAAGTCAATGAAAAGTCTTTCACAGACTTCAGCATGCCTTGGATTAGGCCCAGCTACTAAGGGTGAAACTTATGCCCTGTGCAGACGGTCAGACCAAGGCCTATGCAAAATGTACATCCCACTGAAGTTCTCAAAATTGCCCTTAAAATGACATTTAAATGGTGCATAGGGCTTGTGCTGGCTGTCTGCAGAGGGTGAAATGTTGATTATTACTGATGATCAGGTGTTACTAGATGGACTTCATTGGGACTTGAGGGTACACAGAAACTCACATAATCCTGGCCCAGGAGAAAAAAACAAAACATGTTACATGAGATAAATCAAGAAAAAGTAAAGTGAATGTGACACAAAATTTGCTTTGACCTATCAGATGCAGACATCAAGGCTGCACTGCTGAAGATGGTACCTGGAAACACAGCAGATCTGGATGAAGGCATGGTGGAAATGATTAAATCCTTGAAAGAGGTTGGAGTACACTGGCTCATGTGAGTCCTGTGCAGAGATTGGAAAGAGAAGAAAATCCCAAGACAATGGAGAAAGTCCATGCTAATACTGCTATACAAACAAAAAGGTGACATGCAATAATTGTTCGAAGTACCGAGGAATTAAGGTGCTGTTTCACAGCATGAGACTGTTAGAGAGAATCATAAATAGTTGCATTCACTGAACAGTGAAGGCCATTTTAGGAAAAGAGCAGCTTGGTTTTAGAAAAGGAAAAAAGAAAGCAGATGGTATGTCATTGCTAGACAGTTGGTGGAAAAGAAGCTGGAGGGATACATCAAGAATGGTTGGGCTTTCCTTGATTTGGAGAAAGCATTTGACAGGGGTGAGACCAAGGTCTGTGGTATCAGAGAGCAGCGAGAGGAGGCTGAGACGATATGGCCTTCTACAAAAGATGGATAAAGAGAATCCTGTTCAGGAGGCATTTGAGACTAGAGTTTGCAGGCAGAGACAAGAGGATGGCCAAGAAAACAGTGGATAGACTGTGTATGGGAAGGCAGAATACATACAGAGTGAACATTAGACTGGCAAGCCTGGAAAAGATTGATCCATAGACCTGACTCTAGCTAACTGGGAAAAGGGAAAGAAGTGGCCTGTACTTTTCACTTCATACTCTCCATTAATCTTAATCACACTTTTATAATGAATGGAGACTATACTTTGGCATTGCCTATATAAAAATAAATTTTACATTTGAGGCCAAATTTTCAACAAGGAACCTATAATTATACCTACAAAATTTTTGTGTGCAAGTTAGATGAAGGGGAAAAAAGCGTCCCTGTTGCACATGCACTCATGTGCACTCATGTGCACTCATGATTTCCTTCTACAAACTTAGGTTTTTATGCTGACAAGTTTTTTTCAGATCATTAAAGCCAATTGAAAATTTGTCTTACATTGTATGGAGGACGTCATCTTCAAAAGCACCACTACTAAAGTTGTTCAGCACAGGAGTTGATAGCACAAACCACCCACACATTTTTTTTAAATTAAAATGTTAAGACTTATGAGATATAACAAAAGAGTCTATTTATTGAACTGTTTGTTTAATTGAATGTACCATTTAAAATATAAAATATTAACATTTTAATTTACTGTATGCCTGTGAAATTATTGACACAGTATGGTAAAACTTGTTACAAGTGTAAGCGTAACTTAATATGGTTGCAGAGATGTGCCATGTCATTACAGAGTGATGGAATCTAACTATTTCATAACAAAATTTTAATATTTAGCACTGTATATTGCTCTTTATGATGGTGAGTAAGCATTATTATCCCCATTGTATACAGCGGAAACTGAGACACAGATTAAGATCACATTTTCAAAAGTAACTAGCAACTCTGGACACCCAAAAACTGAGGTGCCCTACCTGAGGTGTTGATTTTCAGAAGGTGTTGATTTTTGAAGGTGTTGGTTTTCAGAAAGTTCTCAGCACCCACCCTTGGAAAACCAGTAACCTTCAAGATGTCTCAAGCTCAGCATGTAAAAAATGAGAGACAAAAATAGAAGTAAAAAGCTTGGCTTTAGTGATTTGCTGTCATGACTGGGACATGGGCAGTCTGACCTAGTGGTCAGACCAGGAGTCAGGCTGAATCAGATACCAGGAGTTCAGAATCCAAGACAGGCCAGAGGGCAAACTGGGAGGCAGGTAGGGTCAGGTTACCAGAGGAGCAGGAGCAGGGGGAAGTAGTTCAAATCAGAGAGGACCCAATGGCATGGACAACTTCCCATTTCTATGCTTGGTTTAAATAGAAGCTAGGAGCCAATCAGGACCTCTATCATTCTGTCAATCACATCCCGGGACTGGAGTCCTCAGTCAGAGTTCAGCTCCTCTTTTGACAATTGTTAGCAGTTCACTGGGTGGTGGGTTGGAACGTACTAATACCTAAGAGCCCTATGGACCAGTGTTTCAAAGCTGTGGTCCCTGATGTTTGCTTAAGGTCCCACAGCAGACCAATAGCACAGCCAGGAATAGAACTAAGCTGTCGTGCAGCCTGCTTTCTAGAGACTCTCAATACCTCTGGCTTCTCATAACTTCAGCTGGAATTTTGGGTTCTCGGCCCTTCTAAAAAAATCAGCTTCTGACTCTGAGACCACTTTTCTGTCCATAAAACTACGATAGCAGTGTGTTTAAAAACATTTACAATATTCCTTCACACATAAGAAGTTTATTTCAGACCTACCTCAGAGGACCCTACCTGTTTTGGCTAGTCAATAACCCCATGTGACCCGCCCTACTTTAAGCTCTGATTGTAAACAAATTTTCACTGGAACTTCTAGAGTATCATTCACATTACATTTTCAGAGATAAGATACATTTTAAAAAGAACTTCCCCAAAGCTCCCCAAAATACAGTGTGACAGATGATGAATATGTAAAGTTAGAAAACCAGGCCAGGCAGTTTCCTTATTACACTCCAAAGGGAAAAGCTTAGAGAAACATCACTTTATCTTCCCCTCCATCTTTCAGCATTTATACGATTTCTTTGTTCCTCTGTATTCTCCTAGCCCCTCCAGATATTTGACAGACTCAGTTTATAAATTCATGGAGTTTTACCTTTTTGATTCTTCAGACAAGAAAAATAATATTGAATTTCATTTATAAAATTTAATAATAATAATAATTAATAATATTTAATGAGGCTTCAATACAAGGCAGTGAAGGTATGAAATATAGTGCAGACTTAAAAGGGAGTATTGCCAGACACTTTGAACTAACACTGTGTATTCCATTGCATCCGGTGTATTCTAATCTGAAATGATCAAAAAGTAGCAACTGCATTAGTGACCTTTTCACTGAGAGCTAATTACATAGTCATTTCATTATTCATTATATATATATATATATATATATTTTTTGTTTTATTATTTCTTTAATAAACATGCGTATTACAAGGGAGAAAATCCAGTCACCTAGATATCCCCCTGGCCTCTGGCAGTGGAAGTAGAAATTCTGTTCCAAACCTCTGAAAAGAGACCACTTTTATTTAAGTGCCTAAATATGGATTCATTTACCTAACAGTCACCCAGTCTTGAACATTTTGATCTAAATCACCTGCCCAAAGGCAGCCAGCATGTCAGTGGTAAGGTCAGGAAGAGAACCTAGATATCTTGATGCCCTGCTTGTGTCCTAACCACAAGAAAACTCTGTTTCTGTATGTACTATGCTACTCCTTAAAATGAAGCATTAGCTCAGCCAATCCATGCCACTCTACACACACTCACCAAATCTATTTCCAGAGAATCTCGAGAAAATTTGCGCTTCCAAATATGGCTCTTGATGATGTTGGATCGCTATTTATACTGTCCTGATCTTCAGTGAACTGACAGCTTAGTTATTGTACCATGAGATAAATTTGATTGCTCTGTAATCCAGAGGTCAGAAGCCACTGTAGCAGCCTGAAGTACAGAGAGAATCTCCTTTGAAAGCTAGCACCATGTCTTTCAATACTAACTTAAATTACTAGTGCTCTCTAAACGGTTCCAGTAACCCTCAGGAAAGTTCAGTCTGGTTCTGCCATGGCCCAACCATACCCCTTTTGCATGCTTTGTATTGTTCAGGCTGACAAAGCCAATTCATTTTCTTGTAAAATAAACATCCCAAAAGCCAAACAAAACAAAATATCCTTTGTGTTATCAGTAGAAAAAAAGCTGGTATTTACTCTTCAGCCAAGTGTACTGTACGTGTCTTTCTTTGCTTCTTCTTGCATTCTGTTTAGCATTTTTATTTATACCTTTTTATCCTTTTTTATCTTTCATTGATTGAACTTCATTTTATTTCCTTAATTCATTTTTGAACTGTTTGCACTGCTTCTTGTGTTGTGTTTTCTTGGTTAACATCATTCCTTTTAACTTTCTGTCCATAGACTTACATTTTATTCTAGTAGACCTTTCATCATAAGACTAATGATCTGGAAACAGAAGAGGTTCTAAAGATAGATGCAGTTGGGATACTTCTCTGAAGCTTATCAGATTTAGCTCAACTGTTGAGCCCTGTACCTATACCACCACCAAGCTCGACAATATGATCTCTACCCCAAAGCCCCTCTTTTTCAATGTGCCCCAGCTGTCCCACCTAACGCTTTCTCTTCTGGAGGCTCACTGGCCTGTTACTTACCTGTAAATGTGCAATTTTCAATGGGTAATTGAAGGCCCACTTCTCTGCTCTGGTATCTACCCTTCTTTTCTAGATGTGACATATTCCCCCAGTTCAGTTATAACTTATCTTTTGGGGGAACCTGAATAGCTCAGTCTGATTCATCAGGGCCCAGTAACTCTTCCACTGCATCCAGCTGATTTGTCACTTGAACATTTAAAAGGCACAATGGACTTACACTAATGGTGTAATGGTCTCTTCCAAAGAGATGGGTTTCTGCCAAGACAAGCCAATACTGTGTTTAAACAGTATTGTTACAGTGATTATTTATAAATCTCATAAGTATATGAAGTAAAGAGAAAGTCTGAAAATGGGATAACTCCATGATTTCTGACTTTGATGGCAAAAGAGAAATTTATGTCTAAAAATATAACCAAGAAGCTGAAATTATATTTGTGAGAACTTTTTCTAAGACTAATAACTTTGGCTTTGGAAATGCTTTCAGAGTTAAAGCTCAGTCCTCCTACCCACAGATCCACAAAGCCCAGAGGCAGTAGAATCATGTGATGAGTCCTGATTTTCCTATCACTTATTATAGGTGGAGCTGGTAATGATGCCGATAGTTAAGGTTGCCAAACTCTTCCCATTATCAGCCCTTGTATTCAGTTGCTAATAACTTGGCCAAACTTGCAGTTATATAATTAAAGATTATATCATAATGCATATGCACAAGGAAGTGACTTATGGTTGCAAAGGCAACCTTAATTCTGGCATTTCCTAAATGATGAGTTCTTGACTTTGCAACCATAATTGTCATTTTTAACAGGTTTTTTTTTCCATCTTAATGACATTATAAATCAGGAGTGAAGTCATTGAAGTCAGTGCAGTGACAATGGTGTAAAACAGTGTATGTGAAAAGAGAATTAAGCCCTGTAATTCTCCCCTGCATGGGAGTGAGTTATTGGGAAGCAGGGAGGCTGTTCAGGAAAACTGTGCTTCCTCTGTGCTATTGAGACAAATTCCATAGGGTATATCTGCATTGCAGCACATGGGCAGAGGCAGATTAAGGTTTCCACCAGAAAAGGTTTCTGGGCCAGAACAAGTGGGAGGGGGCCTCACCCTGTCCCCGTTCCACTCGTGGCCCCGCCCCCCAGTCCCACCCCTTTCTGCTCCTTCCCGGGGGCAGGGCCCACGCCGTTCCACTCCGGGTTCCCTTCTTGCACCCTGTCACTGTAGTCCTGCAAACCTTTTTGCTTCTTTCTGTCCCTCCCACAACTGCGACCCCCAAGACCGGAGAAACTCTGTCACTGCGCCATGGCCCTGGGGCAGAGCAGGGAGTGAGAGCTCCTCTATTCCCCGGGCTGCAGCGGGGGTCCAGGTTCTCGGGCTTCCCCCGCCACCTCCCGCACCACCTCCCCCGCACTTCTGCAGGGGACCAGGGTTGGGGCGGTGGGGATTCTCCCCCCTCACCCAACGCTTCTGTCAGAGAGTGGGCTCAGGCGCGGAGACTTCCTCTGCTGCCCCGTGCCCAGGGGGCTTCTGCCAGCGACAGTCAGGAGCCACGGGGTAGAGGGGACTTCCCCTGCCTGGGGGCTTCGGACGGAGTCAGGAACCTCCGGGGGAGGCTTCCCCCACCCGCCACTGCTGCCACGGAGTGGGGTTGGAGTGTGGGGGTTTTCCCCACCAACCTGGCAGCGGGAGCTCCAGGCTTCAGCTGCTGGGTGGCAGATATTTTCTGGGGACCCCTCAGTTGGCGGGCACAGGTCCCATGGACCAGTGGCTAATCTGCCACTGCACATGGGGCAAAGATTGGTTGGAGACTGGCCAGTGAGTTCATAAACTACACGATCCATTTGCCATTATATCAG